CAGGATCAAGAAGTGAGCGAGCGTCGGCTCGAACTATGAGTGAGTGATTTTTAAAGTAAAAGTTCTCTTTTAAAGTAATTTTCTATCGCCAACATTTTTTAATGTGTGTGAAAGATGTGAAAGTTGCTCCAGTACTAAGGTGGTTAAAGCAGTAAAAGGATGGACATTTTTGTTGTTGTAATAAATGTGTAAATTGGTCCTTGTCAAAGTCTGCTGGAAGAATTTGCTTCAACGTTTCTGCTTGTATTTGATTTTTCACAGTGTAAGGTGTATTTGGAAATACATCCGTCTTTAGTCACCTAGAGCAATACACAGTGCTGAAATCATTTGTTTTGAAACCGTAGCAATGCATGGTTTCAGCAGGGAATGGGCATAGCATTACATTGTATCAATGTGTATGGATTTTCCAGCCATGTATATCATTGTATATTAAAGTACCGAGAAGCCACAAAGATTTTACAGGCAAATGAACATTGGGAATTATTGAAGAGGACAGTGCATGTCCTGATCTGCTTTTTCTTAATAGAGAGTGTAATCTTCCTCTAGTAAGGCTTAAATCTTTAGTGTGCACTCTTTAATTTCATGGCTAAATGAGCACCTAACACAGCAATTTATAACTTCACCTATTGCATCTGTTGTTGCAAGTGGGGCTACTTGAGTCTATTGATTAATGGTTATTTCCTTATGAAATGTTCCTTTTTGCCTTGTTTTTTTTCCTTTCTTTTAGGATCAGTGTTGTTTATCTAAATAAAAAATGGGGTTTTAGCAAGTGTTAGTGTTTCAAATCATAGGCCGTACTCAAACGGTGTAGAAAATGTAATTTTATTGCTGCACAGTTGATGAAGCCATAGTCTTCAGTTTTGGTTCTTTGGTCTAGATATATTGTTTTATTTGCTAAGAAGGTAATTGATAAGTAAGCAGTCTGTCTTTTTTGTGCAGCATTTCAGTACTTAACAGAACCCTAAAATGTTTACAAACTCTTTTATGTGAATTGTAATTGCATTGATGCCTATGTTCTCTGTACATGTCCACTTGCATGCACTGTAATGCCCATAATGACCCAAACCTTTTTCTAGCCTGTCTGTGTGGGGGAGATTATCCTTTTATCCTTTATTTTCTGTCATTGTGTATAGGTTTTTGTGAGGTGTTCTTGCTGTTTCATTACTCTTTGAACTTACTTATAGGGGCATCACATTCATTCTCTAGGGGACTAAGCGTCTAAGCAACTCTGCTCCTAAATTTGGTTCACATGGATATAAATCTTGTTTTTCGTATGGAGTGTGTTTTTTTTTTGCGTTTACTGGCAGTGTGGAGAAATGTGCTCCTCTAGGAACTCTGTGCATTAATGCCTGTACAATTATACATTGAATAAAGTAAGTTTTAATAGTATAATTACATCTCTTTTAAATCGGATACATTTTTATTCACATTTTGAAGGTTTCCCATAACAAAGAATGTAGAACTAAAGAAGATTGCAGCACATACAATGTGCATATAGCTTAACTACCAGAAAATTAACCACCATACAATGAGAGTACAGTGTATTAGTAACTGCTAATATGTAAATGCTGCTGAGTCCTCTCCATTACAAGGTGTTTTAAGCCAAGCAGGCCATACATTTTTGTGGGAAGCCCTGATCTGTATAGGTCAATTTTTCAAATGAGAGTGCATAGCACATTTCTCAGGGCCACTTCAGTATTATTGGGGTTGAAGAAAAACCATAATTTAGATATTAGTTTCTGTGCTATATAGAGGGCCCTGCCAACAGTATCAGCAGTGTTCTGATCCGTTAGTACAGTGTTTTTCAACCTTTTTTGTGCAAAGGCACACTTTTTTCATGAAAAAAATCACGAGGCACACCACCATTAGAAAATGTTAAAAAAGCATCACCGACTCCTCCCCCCTTCCTTTCGTTAGCCGACAGAGCCACTCGGGGAAGGGGGGAGGAGTCCGGTGACGTCGATGTCTGTGACGTCACCGGATCTCCGACGGAAGACCCGGAAGCCGGCGGAGAGGTGAGTAACTTTGATTGATCAAAATAATTTTGATCGATCAAAGAAATTAACGATTTATTGACGGCACACCAGAAAATATCTCACGGCACACTAGTGTGCCGCGGCACAGTGGTTGAAAAACACTGCGTTAGTAGATCTATCCAGGTCATCAAGAATACCGGTTAGAGATTTGCACTTTAATGGAAGATTTTAAAACATATTTACTGTAGAGCATACATCATGTCAGTAGTTCTGGACATCTCCATGGAAGGAGAATGAGATTTGTGCTGTCTCTCTCACATCTACTGCAATTAGAATCTATCTGCAGTCTGATAGTAAACGAAACAGAGACGTGCAATATGTCCAGTGCAAATAAACAAATTGGGACAGTCTGTCAGACTGTATGGGATATGCAACCTTGGCACTCCAGAAGTGGTGACACTGCAAATCCCATCATACGTCTGTCTCTGGGAATCATCCTAGAGTCTTGCAATGCATTATGGGACTTGTAGTTCCACATCAGCTGGAGTGCTGAGGTTGTCAACTGCTGCATTAGGGACTATATTATGAACTTTTATCTCATTGGTCCTACCATGATCTTGTTCCCACCTACGCTTTGTCAGAGGTATTGGGTTAAGTATTTAGCAAGCAGCTGTGCTTACAAATGTGCTCGCTCTGCACCGAACTTCTAGATCTACTTTCTTACCTATAATTTGCAACATATGAAGGGCTGGAAAGAGGTCAACTGTGCTTCTTTCTCATTATTCGCAAGCCATTGCTCCAGCGGACCTACCATGTATCTTGTGGTAAGGGTGTGGAATGCTGTGAAACTCCTACTGGGTATCAGGCATTTATCCATATACATCCCTCTATGGCATAATGACATCCTACCCGAATTGTATAAGCTTAGGTCATTTCCTCATTGGCCACAGGCCACTCTGTAGAAGGATGGTGTCCTTTAAAACAGTTCAACAACTATGTACAGAGTGTGATTTTTAATATGTTTTACACCACGTACTACAAGTGCGAAATAGAAGGTTTGACAGCCCAAAAGGTTTGACCCTGTCCCAAGACTCAACACCTTGATTCAAGCGAATACCACTAGCGGGGCAGAGCGACCAGCAGAATCATTAGGGTGTTGTAAGGTTAGTAAGTTAATTCTTGGGGCCCTCTTCTTCCAAATAAGGTCTCGAAACACCCCATTAAATTTTTTGAAATAGTGCAGGGGAACCCAGCAGGGGCAGTTGTGAAGAATATAGAATAACTGTGGCATCCATATAATTCGAAGACGATTAAGTCTACCATCAACTGGAGCTTACACCATACAATACATTTACTCCTAAATGTTTGCAGTAAGGTGTAAGGTTAAGGAAAAGGCATTCGGTAATATATGTAGAGATGTGTATTCCCAGATATTTAAATGTAGAGACAGTCCGGAGTCCGCAAAAGACTTCTGCAATGGGTCAGTGGGGAGTAGAGTGGACTTATTCCAATTGATCAATAAGTCAGAATAACATCCAAAGTTCCAGATAATGGAGATAGCGTTAGAGACAGAGGTAGTATGTCAGCCAAGAACAGCAGGGTATCGTTGGTGTATAGAACAATTTTATTCTGGATGCCTTGAACAAAACCTGTGACCTGTGGAGACATCTGACAAGGGCAGCGAGTGGCGTAATTGCCAAAGGAAATAAAAAAGGGTAAAATGGGCAGCTCTGACATGAAGGGAAAGGCTGGAAGAATAGGTGTCAATAACCATGCCACATGGTTGCTATAGGGTAAGTATACAGAAAATACACCCATTTCATGGGGTCCAAACCCAAATTTCTTTAGGACCTCCCAGAGATGGTGCTATTCTGCATTGTATGTTGTTGTATTGCATGTTTCACAATGCATACCTCCCAACTTTTCTAAAATCAGAAAGAGACATGCCTTTTAGGACATTGTATTTAGGCTATGGAGACACCGCTGCCATTCCCCCAGTTATGCAGACCATTAGGAATTTATATGGCAAAAATGATTGGTCAACAACAGAATAGTTTTTTTTTTATTTAACCATTACTTTTTATTGACTTTTTACTACATCAGACCAAAAAAGGACAACTGAGAAGGAAAGAAGGGCAGAGGGATTTGGTTCTAAATGAGGGACAGTTGGGAGGTATGCTTAATGTTCTTGTAAAAAGGTCTGTTATTATACAGTGATACCTTGGTTTACGAGCATAATTGGTTCCGGAAGCATGCTTGTAATCCAAAGCGCTTGTATATCAAAGCAAATTTCCCCATAGGAAATAATGGAAACTCAGATGATTCGTTCCGCAACCCAAAAATATGCATATAAAAATGATTACAATACTGTACTGTACTATAATATAATACAAAATATAAAGACAAATAAACCAATTACCGGTACCTTCGTGGCTGGTGTGAGGGGGGCAAGAGAGAGGAGGATTATTGTATAGGACAACTTTCACTATCACTAACGGAATCACTGCTATCTCTTGGCTCAATGGGATATTTTTCATTTCTTGAAACAAGGAATCTATCCAATGTGACATTGCATTGTCGTTAAACAGACTCATCGCTCGCACTGCTACAGCCTTATTCGGGGGGTGCTTTTCTACACAATTTTGCTCTTATTGCAAGACATTGCTTGTATATCAAGGCAAAATTTTTCAGAAATGTTTGCTTGTCTTGCAAAACACTCTCAAACCAAGTTACTTGTAAACCAAGGTATTACTGTAAGTTTATTTCACAGTATATTATTTGGTTTGAAATATATACCTTCTACATGCAGTAGGTATAAAAGAGAGAACAGTTACAAAGGTTGTTAGGCAATAGGGTTAATGCCAAAGTGCATGGTTGGCAAAATGTGAACTATATGCAATTGCTTTTTGTTTGCTTGTTTAAATTATTTGTATATATTTTGTGTTAAAAGCTATTGATTGCTGATTATGTGGCATTGCTGATGTATGCTAAATACATCTTTTAATTTTCTTTTCTTTTTGACAGTGGAAGAATCTGATATCATTGATCTTGAGAAAAGATATTGGCTACTGAAGGCTCAGTCACGGACTGGGAGATTTGATCTGGAAACATTTGTTCCCTTGATATCACCTCCGATTCACCAGTCTTTGAGTGAAGGTATTCAGTTAAAGAATAATTGTGGAAATGACTGAGGTTCTTTAGAGGTACCAGGCAGCCTGGGTGGAGAGGAGATCAATGTTGGATCTAAGGTTAAAGTGGAACTACGGGCAAAATATAAAATTTACATGGTATATTTAACTTATTTCATTAGCGTTAACATTAGCAGTTTTTTTTTTTGAGTGCCCCATGTAACCTTAGTTTGTCTTATATCTGTCAGCTTTAAAGCTGAACTCCAGACAGATATGAAAGGCTAACATTTATGGTGCTTTGTATTCATTAATAAAGCATTCAATTAATTTTTTTAGGCAAGTTGTACAAGTATCTAAAATTGACCTGGTATCAGCCCCATGCAATCCCTGTGCAAGGATCATAGGAGGCGAGAACAGAGTGCAGAGATATGAGCTCATCAGTTCTTCTCCTTTCACTGCCCAGTCACAGACTGATGGTGGGGACGTGATCTGTTAGTGTCATTTAACTGCAGTAGAAAAAAAAATAGGTCTCTCTCCCTGCTAGACAGGGCTGCATTGTGTGTCAAAGCTGTGTATATTTCCTGATTGGACAGAATACAATTGCTTTTGCAGGTAAAACAACTGCTTTATATGTATTTAATCTGTGTATTTAGTTGTTTCCTTGGATTTTAGCTTAAAAGAAGAAATCCAGGGAGACATTTTAAATATCCCATGCAGTGGGGCTACCCCCCGTACTGTAAAGTTTAACTGCTCGTTTTCATCGCTCACCCGAACCTCAGAGGCGGCTGGCTGTCACAGCACTCCCTTCAGCTTCTCTCCTCCTACGCTGCAGAGGTGGTATGTCCCTCGGTGTCCTTACGTCCAATACACAGTGTATAGAACGTGACGACTTGAGATTTCTCAGACTGCTGCAGTGCTTTGCAGTGAAGAGGGAGAGACACTGGAAAGACCAGTCTAACAGAAAATGAAGTGAATATAACTTTTTTTTATTTTCAGCCCTAGACAAAAATTAGCCTTTAACCCTCACAGTGTGGGGGTAGCCCCACTGCAAGGGTTAATATTTGTTTCCCATAGTTTAAAGACATTCAAATATATATATTAAAAAAAATAAATGTAAGCTATTTGTGTACCAAACAAAGTAAGCCATTTTTTTGTTTACATGTTTTGTCCTTATTTTTTTATTACAGGATTATTTAATGCATTCGATGAGAACCGTGACAACCACATAGACTTCAAGGAAATTTCTTGTGGCCTGTCTGCTTGCTGCCGGGGACCCTTAGCAGAGAGACAAAAATGTAATTATCAGTTTTAGCACAACTCCCTACAGACACAACGGAGTATTATCTGGCAAAGTTAATGGTCACCTCTGCCTAATGTACTCCATGGCTCCTGAATCTCATTGATTCAAGGATTTGATTTATTTTTCTCATTATTAGAGCGTAAATGTGTGATCAGTTTTATGCTGAACAATACTGTAGGATCTTTTCCTTGTTCATTATTGCCTAATTAGTTTCTGAAAAGTTGTTTTCAAGTCAAATGAAGATCTGGCTAATATTCATAGATGATGTGTAAATATCTTTTGTGGAGCTTCCTTATAAAATACTAATTTGATGATTCTTTTTTCTGTCAAACAAATACATTTTTTTAACTCGGCACTGAATTCTGTGGAGCATATCATGCATTCTGTTTTTTTCTTTCCCTTTAGAAGCTTGTAAATGTGCAGTTAGTTATTGTGATTGGCACACATCATATTATAAAGGCCCATTCGCACCAAATGTCACACGCAACATTCTGTTCTATAGGCACAGTGGAGTGCAAGGGGGTTGTACAGCGTTGCATTCCACCGCTCTGGAAAAAAAGTGCTGCATGCCATCTTTTGTTTAGCACACTCCATCGCGTTCCCACGGCAACTCGTGGTGTAAATGGTGTCCATCCGTGACATGGAAAACGGACTTGTCTTACATTGGGGCTGCGATGGTCATTTATTTCAGCACAGTCTCAATGCATTTGGAGTGAATGGGCCCTCAATGTTTTAGCCATAGCCTTATTTTTTAAGGATACATGCCTGTCAATTTAAACATATTTATTATGGAAATACATGCACGCAGTACATCTATTTGCTCAGAGCTACATTATTCTATTACATCAGGCCACCCCACGGTGAACAATCATATGGTTGCTGCTAACTTCTGGGAACACCTAATCCTTGGCCTGTTATTCTGCAATATATGAATTTCCAATTTTGCTTGTCAGTCTTCCTGCAGTCTATTCACATTCTTTTTAAAGTCTCTTACGTCCAACATTCAAAATAACATTATTCCTGCACTTAATCTTCAGTCACTGAAGTCTCCACAAATCTTTACATGTAATGAAGTGTACTTTTGAAAGAAGCAGCACATTGCTTGTTCTGCTTTGGAAGCAAAGCTCAACAAGCTGTACCCAATGTAGAATGCAGTACCCAGAAGTTGTTTTAGTAGTCAATGTATATATGACACTAGATACAATGTTCCATATGTGAGAAATGAATGGAATCCGTGTGTGCCTGCTCATATCTAATAGCATTTGTGTTCTTTTCTTTCGACTAGTTTGTTTCAAAGTGTTTGATGTTGATCGTGATGGTGTTCTGTCTCGCACTGAACTGGAAGACATGGTTCTTGCACTACTAGAGGTGTGGAAGGATAACCGCACTGATGCCGTACCTGTAAGAGCCATTTATTTTATTTATGAATAAAACTTGTATATTGTCATCATATAGCTTATATGGTTTAATATACTATCCTACAGGTTTTCCCTTATAGTGTAAAAACTGCCTCATTATGCAGATAAGCTTTACACAGCATTAAACATCACTGTAGTGATGAAATAAGGCTTTGTGTGATTATATATAATAACAGGATACTCATTTGAACTGATCCGCAATTGAAAAAGACTAATTCTGTTAGAATGTATTTTTCTGTGACGGATTCTTAAAATAATAAATGAGAATTATGTAATTTGCCTGACCGGGCAATGTTTTGAACCCATAATGTGCAAATGACTCTTTAGTGAGATTATGTGTAATTGTCAGTTTCTGAAACCAAAATACTACCAAAACCAACTATACTAGAATGGTATGGGGAGCCTTGAATTGCTTTCTGTTGCATGATTTTTACTTGCTAGCTCTGAGCCATATAGTCACAGTCATGTTTCATATCCATATTTGTAGTACCTTCTTCTAGTAGCTAACTGAAAGTAGCTAAAAAACAGTTTTCATACAATCAGCAAGTAAGACTTGTGGAGAGTGTATTTGTTAAGTCATTTAATACATCTCAGTTCTTAGATGAATGAGTTAAGCCCAATGTTATTTTTGCCCTTTCTGTGGAAATAAAAACACTTATAGTGACACTAAACTCATGAGTTAAATCTTAATAGTTAAGGTACTTGAATTTATTTTTAACAAAATTGTAACTTATTTGTGCATCACTCAGCTGTAGATCCTCAAATCATCTCTGAATTCATGCTGACCCTGTCCTTCCTTCTGGAGGGTGGCTACTTTTGTTCCCCATGGTTCTTGTATGTGTTGTAAAGTAGTCACCGCTCTAAGCTCACTCCTGTGATGGACTACAACCTTGCATTTAGTTTACTAGTTTGTTATGAGATTGCAGTCCATCACGGAAGTGAGCTTGGAGCGGTAGCTACTTTACAACACACACAGGAACCATGGGGAACAAAAGTAGCCCCCTCCAGAAGAAAGGACAGTGTCAGCATGAATTCAGAGATGATTTGAGGCTGTACACATACAAATAAGATACATTTTTTTTGATGGATAAGGTAGTTGAATGCATTTTTAAGACTTAACTCTTCAGTTTAGTGTTACTTTAACTGTAGTCCATTTAATGGTCATGCACATGTGATGGACATTCAAGCAAACAAGGACCTGTGTGTGGCCTTTTGGTTCTCTTGTGCATTTCATAGTTGTTGGTTGGGGCAACATTACACACAGCAGGACTCACCCTAACCTTTGATGCTTTAAATATGGATGGTGCTGACAATTATTTTTATTTGGTGTAGGTTTGTATATTTCCCAGAAATGCAGTTCGCATTTAGGGCTCTAAACAGCTCTGCCATTGGAACAAATAGAAACCTTTTGGTTTAGTGTAGATTTCCTAAATGCCCTATGACCATGAGGTGGTGGTTAAGTGTGATCCAGTCAATGCCAGTCTTTAAAACTGTTCTTAGATCTGCATCAGTCTGCATGCAGTTAAAGGGGAGAGTAGCTAGATTTTCTTGGTATTGGCCTTACCTCAAGAAAAATATTTTTGACTGCCTGAAAGCTTTCTCCCCAGCTTCTTGCCTCTTCCTCTAAAACAATTAGCTAGTTTTGTCTGCTGCTACCTATAGTCATAATGGTTGCAGCCTGTTCTGGCTGTAGAGAACTAGGTCTGGGCACTCTAATTGCACGTCTCTTTAGAACCTGTGTTGACCAGCTTTTAGCTTGTGTTGATGGGCAAAAGCAGCTTGTTTTTGACATCACTTGGATATACTTCTGAATTAATTAAAAAGGTGCATTTAACCTGCAGCTGACCTCCTTTTGACCTGCTTTAAGCTGCTTTAGCATTGCCATAAACTTATATGTGCAGAAAAGCAGTTTTGAATTGAACAGGATGAAGGATGAAAATGTTTCTCAAACTAATGAAAGTCTAACAGTGAATGTGGTTTTCATTTCACTCCATTCATTCCATAGTCAAATGTTAAAATCAACAACATTTTGAATGACATTTTTTTTGTATTTAAAAGTTCATGCAAAACCCTACCGGTGTATGGCCAGCTTTAGACATACACATAAATAAAATAAGCAGTCATCACTGTGCTGCACTTCTAACCAGGAAGCACAGCTTGACATGTGGAAATATGGCTGCTCCTACATAAATATTTAAATATAGATCCAAGAATTTCGGAAGATTAACACTTTTAAATAATTTTATTGCTCACAAGCTGTGTTTCTTATTATATATATTTAGGCCTTTGAAATATATTTGCTTGATTTATTTTTACCAGACTTTATTTTCTATTTTGTAGGAGAAAAGGCAAAAACAAGTATTATCTTTTGTTCGCTAACATTTTTGTTATGCATACTTTGGCGCACATATTGTGTTCTCATTGCCTGCTTAGAATGTTTTTATTTCCCTTCATTTCTATCTTGGTCACAATGGTGGCGTGAATCTTCCCAGCAGGGGGCACGGAGAGCAATCTAAAACTTAAAAAAGGTCTAACTCTTCCCCTACTCTGCAAAACTAAAAAAAAAATGTTGTCTTTACATTTAATTTTTATTTTTATTAGGTAGCAGCAGTCATTATTATTTAAATGTGTGTGTTTGGCCAGTACACAAGCAGATGTGGATGGTAACTCTAAACATACACGTGTAAAATAACCTAAAGTGATATCTCCAAATGTAAAACTATAGAATTTAAATTTAGGTAACAGTATGCAATTTGTTTTTTCAGTTCAGTGTTTTAATATTTGTTTACTATTTTATCTTATTTATAGGAACTAAACTTGAATCTTTCCGATATAATAGACAATATATTAAAAACCCATGACACAACAAAGGTAATTTTGTTTTAAGTTAACTGTTTATCATATCATATGTGCAATAAAATGTAAACTGAAATGTGGTTGCTGTAGGCTTTTGCCCTTTTGCTTGTCATTGTTCCTCTTTTCACTGCCATATTAAATAACCCTGTGTAGTCTTGTGAAAAAGAAAATTGACCTTGTGAATTCACCACATGAAAATTGTTGGCCCTTTTTATCATATTTAAACAGGCAAACATTAGATCTTCATTCAAACAGTTCCATACAAAAAAAGGTGATATACTTAATACATGTGCCATGGAAAAAATAAGTACTAAGATGGCCTCTGAAGCTGGTATTGCCCCCTATAGCAGAAATTATAGCAGATTTTGCATAACTGGCCATTAGTCACTGACTTGGTGGAAGTTATAACTCTTCCATGCAAAATTCCTTCACTTGCTAGATTTTTGTGGGTTTTCTTGCATGAACTGCCTGTATCAGATTACCACAACATTTCATTAGGATTCAAGTCAGGGCTTTGGGTAGGCCAGTCCATAACCCATCATTTCTTCTTTTTGAGCCATTCCATTTGCTAGTATGCTTTGCATGATAATTTTGTTGAAAGTTCAATTTCTAGTTCCCCTTCATTTTTGGACATTTGGACAAAAAGCTTCACATGCTCACAAAGCACACTTTGATATGATGCAGAATTCATAGTTGACTCGATGACTTAAAGGTGTTCAGGCCCTGAAGAAGCAAAGCAACTCTAACCCATAACATTTCATGCATGTTCATTATGGAGGTTCTTTATTATCAGTACTTAATTTGGAACACCTACTTTAGTTTCATGGATTTGAAGTGGTAGTAAATGTAGGTGTGTGCTTACTCATTCCAAATCACATATCTGTATTTTCATTAGTTTAGCTTATGAGAATAAATACACCATGAAAAATGTATGCGTCACGTTTTTAACTACATCCCTTTTATCTGTAGTCACTATTTGAATGCAGTAAACAATACACTGTCCGCATCGCTCATTAGTATTGGACAGCTTGATAAATCAATGACAAATGACTATCAGTAGAAATATTGATTTGCCAGTCTTGGGAGTGAATTCAGGCACATGGGATACATAGGATAGAGCAGTGTTTTTCAACCACTGTGCCGCGGCACACTAGTGTGCCGTGAGATATATTTTCTGGTGTGCCGTCAATAAATCGTTAATTTCTTTGATCGATCAAAATTATTTTGATCGATCAAAGTTACTCACCTCTCCGCCGGCTTCCGGGTCTTCCGTCGGAGATCCGGTGACGTCACGGACATCGACGTCACCGGACTCCTCCCCCCTTCCCCGAGTGGCTCTGTCGGCTAACGAAGGGAAGGGGGGAGGAGTCGGGTGATGTAGTTGTCCGTGATGGGTAACGAAGGGAAGGAGGGAGGAGTCAGGTGACGGCACGGACATAGACTCCTCCCCCTTCCCTTCGTTACCTGACGGAATCACTTGGGCTGAGTCTCCTCCTCACTCTTGGGCCGGTGAGTCATCGCATGTGTGTATAAGGCAAAATCTGCTACCCTGGTGAGACCCCACAAAGCCATGGGGCTTTTGGGGTTGTGTGGTAACGCTGGGTGTGCCATGAAGGAGTTA